TCTTCCATACCCCATCTTTGTTAGCTGCATATTCATTATCTTTTGATAGTCTTTTATGTCATATGTTTGTAATTTAAGTATTCGTTAGAAACACAATATGCGCTAACTTTGTCAAAGTGCTTAATATTGGTCACAAAAGAAGCTCAAAAAGAGTTGTATTAGTAATTAAATAGTGTCTATTAATCATTCAAATGATCAGATGGGGTGTGGGTGTCAATAAAGAGGAGATGCACACTTACTCATACCTACGCTTACCTACATCCGCACATTCTATTCGGTCAATCCACCATAGCTTAATGAATGAAAGTTGTTGAAGACCTGCTAGTTTCTCTTTCTTGTAGATGTTGCAACTTCTGAGTCATTTATTTTGAAAATTTACCGGTGCTATATTATCTGGTTTTGGAATTTAGTTTGTTTTGTCTAGCCATAAACTCAGAACATACTTAAATCGGTTTTTCGGTTTTTCCCACATTTCAACGCAGAGAAATTAATGTCTATATTAACATATTTTCCATTCCGTTAGACAAGAACGAAAAGAAACTATTGATTGCTGTATACAAAATTTAGTTATGATCTTTGCAGATAATAAGAAAACCACCATGAAAATTGTCTTAAACCTATTAATAATAGCCATTTTCTGACAGATTTCAGCTAATAATAGTAACAGCTCATTACTAATTCTCGATCCAAAATCTAGTACAACGGACCGATGTAATTAAAGATAATTGAAGTCAATGTGATATATATGTATTATGTTGGAATTGATTTAAGAATTATTTGAAAATGAAGACATTTCTTAAAGTGAAAAAGGAGATCACGAAAAGGTGGTGCCTCCCTTGAATTGAAGAACTCGCAACTTCAAATGGCTTTGGACGAGTTCAAAGCTAAATCAGATTTCAATTTCCGATTGATTTCGACAAAAACTCGAACCTTCATCTGATGAATCGCGTCGAAGTTTTGACTTGATCATAGGAGACGAAGCCAAAGAGGAGACTCGAACCAAAAGAGCCTCATGAGATCAAATATTACTTGGGTACCACATCTTCGCATATCATAAGCAGATCAATATCATTTGTTTTAAAAATAAAATAAAAAACTTTGTATATATATGTCAGTGGGATCCATAATTTTGCCCTATTCTGTATATATACGCTAAGATAGAGCGTCAATATAGAAAATCAAACTGGCAATAACTAGTTTATCAAATAATCGAATATTGTTTTTCTTTGAATCGATCATTAATCAGAAGAGATTATGCCACTATATAAGAAGTAAAATGAACATGCACAGCCAATAGCAAAAATTGTTGTGATATAATGCACTTATCTGTACTAAGAGCTGCGCAGAATCAATGGTAGAGCCACTAATTTCAATCNAAAAATATCATTAAAAATCGGCGATTAATCGCGTTTCAGCTCACGATTATCGTTTCGATATATCGCGATTAATCAGTAATTTTTCAGCGATTTTTACGACATGGGAAAATATTATTAGATTAGGATAGTGATGTCCTTCATATACATTTCTTCTAGTGTTTGAGGTTGTATTTTCATATAAATTTTTGAAACATCTGCTCAGCTCATACTTCACATCATTACATTAATTACAACGTGAATTAGAGTATTATAATCTATTAATTAGAAATATTTCTAAAAAGAAGTTTTGAAACCTGGCTTTGTATTGATTTGATACAGAATGTGTTGCTCTACCAAAATATTCGCTGTGCATCTTAAAACAAAACTTATTTGTTTGCATAAATCATATTATGGATTATCTAAGTAGATGTCTTCACATTTTTTTGTACCACAATGCGCATTTCAGAATTGGAGAAGACATATATGAACACTGTTTCGAAGAACTATGAGATCATATTAAATTTTAATTCTCTCAGATTTCTTGTTGATTATCGCTTAGTACGAATAATGAAGCAGTATCTACTTTCGATGCTATGATAATAAATCCTTGAGAGATTATAATTAACTGAAAAGAATAATCTTCTTTACTGCATTCAAAGAAATTCAAAGGTTTAAAAAAAATATATCTATTTCTATGAAATCACAGGAGAAAGATCATTAGAATTTCAACAGAAATATGGTGAAGAATCGTCTGTATTGGTATAAAATACTCCATGTATAGCATTGAACTCGATGGTCACTAACCGATATAAATCAATAAAGATCTGCATAAAAAATGCAAGATTTTAGTTGAGCGATTGAAGAACTATTAATCGTTGTAAATTGTGTAGACAGGGAAATTTTGTTGGAAAAAAAAGGAGTGCGGGTGAAAAGATAGCTCTCACTTACACCCCACACCCACATCGTAAAGCATCGTTTACAATTGCTGTAAATGACTACCACAAATAGCTGCCGTTATTCGCCGTAATGGATTGGTAAACGGCCATGTACAACCGAGCATGATTGATCTAGGATTAGTGGATGAAAAGAACGTTATATCAATATCTTTAAAATGTTATTATATCAATATTAGATCTTACTAAAACTCAGGATGATGACGACGATAGCACAGGTCAAAAACCAACACCGCAAAATACACCAGAGCATGAATAACATATGCGATGAACATAAACGACTGTCGTGCACAATCGTAAGCGAGAGTAAATTCGTTGTAAATCGAGTTACACTTATCCAATTGACCGAATACAACTTTCTCTATTTTTCTGGATTAAACGTAATCGTACAACGGAATGAACTACAAAATTAAAATTTTTTATGTTTCAGTTTTTTTGACGGAAGGGTTTATTTCGTCCATCAATACTGTCAGCCTTTGCCCACATGCATCTAATTACACCGTCAACTTTACCAGAAATTTCGCCTTTTCATGAACAACGCCCTTCTTGTCTATTTCTGCCTTGTTCAGCCCACATCTGATCATCCTCAGCATTGTTTTTAGTTGATGGATTGAGCTGGTTGAAACATAAAAGATTTAAATTTTGTACTTTATTTGATTGTACGATTGCATTTTAATTCAGAAGAATTGAGAATGCTGTATTCGTTAAATAAAATATACCAGTTTGTGTAGAATTTCAAACCCTATCTTTTAATTAAAAACAAGTGTTCCAATCAAGAAGATAATAAAGAAAAAACTACAAAAATACAAAGAGCGTAATTTATTCTGCGCTATCCGAGATAATGATAAAAGTCTCTTTGGAATAAATCATTTTTTAGTTGAATAATTTTTATTCAGATAATTTTGAACAGCAGTTTAAACAGTGAATGGTTTTTTTATCAAAAACCAGAAAACAACAATTTCATGTTTTAAAGCAAGAGGGATGGAGAAAGTTCCTCCTTCTCAATTGAGAACAATATGTGGATACGACAACACCTGACATTCTATACAATTATGCAGAGTAGATCACTTTGGTCGTATGCACATCGTACTTTGTCGTGTATGACACGATGAGATATAGCCGTAATTCATGAGGTATGTAATATAATGGTATATGGTCATAATTTATGCCGTGCACAGTCGTTTACGACTATTTTAATGCTCGTTCTGAATATCTATATATATATAAACCATGAAACAAGTACTGAATCGACTATAAAAAGTTTAAGACTTTGATGAAAAGAATGCAATAACAAAAAAGGAATTTATTCGATGTCATAAAAATAATAGAAACTTATGAATTGTTAGTTTTTTTTATGTTTCGAAACCAAATTGTTCGAATGGTGATTGATGCATTTAGACATAGATATAAAGATAAGCTTACATAATCTTTAATATCAAGAGACGAAATAAATAGTGAAAAACTTTGACATACAGGTAATAAACAGGAAGGTTGATTTGCATAAAAGTTAAAGGTTACAGATGAAGCATATAATATAAAAACTGATTCTCTTATGCTACGTGGACTCTTAATGTCGATGAATATGATATAATGACAAAAATATTGCTTGTTATGATCTATATGTAAAATACAAATGACTTGAAAGTTTATTCTGATTTTCGTATTACTCAAAATTCTTTAAGTCGTATATGTGATTATGAATTAATAAACAAAAATATTGAATATTCAAATGAAATCATAAATAACTATAATAAAACCATGAGTTTTTGAAAATTATTTTTCCTCAAAATATTAATCACATAAGCTTTTTTTATTACAAATCAATTACTTTTGTCGATGCCGAATACTATTATAGTAAAAATTTATCATAGTATATCTCAGACATTGTATCCACTCGATGTAATAACAAACTATTTAATTGAAATAGCACGAATAGTTATTTATCATAGATTTACTTGTATTTTTTCTATTTATAACATACATTTCGCACAGTCATAGATGATAACGAAGTACATGTCAATGGAAGCAGCATATGTTTAGCATTAATTCGTAATGCTCATGTGTAATAAGTATTGAATGAGTACACAAAGGTTATATTTAATTTATACTTCTATAAAGTTTTTTGTTCACTGATGGATACTAAGTGAGGAATAAACCATGAAAATTAATATGAAAAGGCACTATTGAAAGTGAGAAATGTCTGATGCCCGCCTGAACTACCTACTCTTTCCTCTTTTTCATAATTTACATATACATCGTAGTTATTCATTCTATCTAATTGAATAGAAAAATATTTTTACAGCTAATAAGATTAATTTGAATCCGAATTTAAGATTATAATATTCACGAATAACTTAGCCCTCTAGTAATATTTATTATCTAATTTATACACAAAAAAGCAAGATTGTAATTTCGTATAATACCTTTGCTGTTTTAAATTTAATTTACAGAATTTTTTTATTTTCTAATTAATACACCGAAAATATAATGGAATCAATTGAAGAAAAACGCATACATTTTTGTTTGAATTACAATCAAAATGTTATTAACAAGAAAAAAATTATTACATAATTTAATGATTTTTTTTTGTTCAAATCACTAAATGAAATCAATACATGAATAAACATACGCATTAAAATAATACAATAATTCGTGACTAGAAAAATTTTCTCTTAGAGTAAACAAAGTTATTTTATATACCATTCATAAGTTCTGTTTCATTTTCTTCTTGAATTGATGTTAATGTTGGATTTCGTTTAATGGTTGACCGCCTTCGATAATGTATTCCATATGGCATTCGATCATTGTTTGTATCAAACAATGATTTTTGATGACCAAAATAATTTAATTCATGTTTACCAACTGATGTTGCACAACGTCGATTGTTTGATGAATAATTTTGCGTTGGTTGATTGAAATTCGAAAGTAGTTTAGATAAAAATTTTGAAAACCGTTTACGAACTGCATGCTTATCAGATTTCACAGTTGAACTGGTAGAGTAAAATTACGATAACATAAAAATAAACCATATGTAAAATGCATCTATACTTACCATTCGGCATTTAGTTTTGGTTGTGAAGTATTTTGAGGCATAATTACTAATAATAATTCAATCTAAAAAATATTAGTAAATGTCAGCTAATAATTTGAAGATTTCACAATGTTAATATGTTTTAAGCAATCCTGTAGAGATTATCTTTACATGTAAAAAACTGAAGAAAAGAAACATTGCGTATGTAAAGTTTATGTGTTGATGAAAGTAGGAAAAAGGCAAAGTTCTGAAGGCTTTTTTGTACACGCCTTTGTTTTTTATTTTGTGATTATATAGAAAATATAACTCAGTTTCTTTTATATTTTTTTCGATTCATTATCCTCTTTCTTTTTTTTTTTGCATACTTACATTCCAAAGAACACAGTTCGAGTTTATTTGAAGAAAAACTTGCCACTGGTTTCTTTTTTCTTTCAATTTTCGATCAAAGTACAGCCCACTTCATCACGTTTGTATGATGTTCGTGTATTGCCTTCAGAATAAAAATAATATTTCAAGGCACGACATGCTTTGGAAAGAAATTATTTTTTGATTTTAACGAAAGAAAGAAGGATAAAAAAAATGGACAAGACTTTTTCAAGGTCACTAACTGGTGGCGTAAAACATACACAAAAGAATGTTGCTCGACATAAGATAGAATATTACGAGCGCAAAAATATCCATACTCGATATATTCATCTTTAAATTAATCTCCTATTGTCTTTAATCAAAATTTTTGCATACGTACTTATGATGTTGGAATTCGAACTTTATACAAATCGACAAAAATGAAAAAGAAAGTACGAAAAATAATTCGAATATGAAAATGAATTATTTTTTATGATAATAATAAAACTATGTGCAAAGTCTAATCGCTTTTTATAATGATTTTTCGCTTGTAAAGTCTCCTTTTCTAAAAGTAAAATAACAGACTACTAGCGTATCATATTATATTCTACTTATTTTATACCCTTTGGTTTCTTGACATTTATACTTGCTTGAGTTTCTTATCTTGCATTTAAGATATTACACTGGTGACTTTTTATCCCGCAAAAATATTATGAAGACTGTCTCAAGGAATTTTACACTCATTCACAGAATCGATAAATCTATCTCCGAAAAGATTTATTTCTAAGATACTTTGCGAGTTTCGAGTACATTTTATTTATTGCCTATTTATGCTTGCTGATGAAGAGATAATAAAAAGCTTTGAAAAAAAATCTTGTTTTTTTTGCGAGATATTTTTAGGAGCCAGGAAAAACACAAAATGCTGAGATATAATCAGAAGCTTTAAAAGTTCCAAAACATTCCATGAAAATGAGATTTTGGCATGATTGATAAAACAAAAGCAATAAAAGTTCAATTAATGAAATGAATATTTTCTTTTCACTGTATTTCGATTAAAAAGTTCGTTTTAGTCAATCAAATTGAAATAGATTAATTTTAATATTCGTTTTACCATTCACAATTTCATTTTATTCCGTATTGTAGACGTTAAAATCCTGGCAATGATGCATTTTTTTGTTGTTTTTGAAGCCTGTCATCGTTAGCTTACCGAAAAAAAACAAGTCAACCTTTTTAATCACTTACGGAAGACTCAAGTATTATATTGTTTCTTATTTTTGTATGCAAAAATACGTAAAGGTAAAACTTCTTTTCTTGTTTTGCCAAAAAAATAATAATAATAAATTACCTTTGATACGACTTGTCAAAACATGTGCATCAAAAATGTCTTTCGAAATGATTTTATTTTCAGTTTTTGATTACAAAGAAACCAAAGTCATAAGAAACATTCGTTAAAATGAAAAACATAATGTAATCTAGAAACGATGTCTCAATCAAGCTTGAATTTAATTCATATTTTAGCTCTAGAAACTTACCACATCTTTTTTTTTTGTGAACAAACTATGAAAATTTTTATTCATTCGTCGTTGTTACATATATGTTACAGCAATATTCTATTCTATTTTTTTAATCGGATGTGTTTATCATGACAAAACTAAGTCAACTAAAATTCAAGATAAAAATTTGATAATGGGTGAGACGTGGCTGTGTGGGTAGGTATCGATGTCGTTAGAGGTGTGGTTGAATGTATATTCGAATTCGCACTGTCAAGTTAATATTCTCACTATCGAATTAACAAAGTCTAAATAGAAGCTGTCCTTGTTGAATATGAACTGAGATTCTCGAAGCTTAAAGTATTTTCACTATTGGTTCAAGTACTGTAAAATTATTTAGATTCAGTTATTTCTCGTATGATGGACTGGTTCCTCAGCTAGTAAGTATTAAAAATCTTATTCAAACTTTCTACAACGTTAGATGCCACATGAGTTCTGATGTCTTGTCAAAGTTCAGTATTTTTCTAGTGAAAATTGATTAATTTTCCTTATTCAAAGTTGTGAATTTTGAATGATTTTGATTTTCTTTGAACGGAAAACAACATAATGTGTAGTACAATGATTCTATACTTTACTAGGACTAAAGATTACGATATTTTATCAAGTTGAGGAATTGAGATGTTTTTGTATTAAGATCAAATTGTAATTGTTTGCATTGTACAATAAAAGTCGAAACATTAGCACGAAATAGTTATTTGTTTCTTAATTTTTTCATAAGCTTTGTTGCTTGTTTTAACCCATATATAAAACAAGATCAAAGATAATTTGTTCTTTTGCTTTAATCGAAGAGTGAAGAACTTATTGCAGATAGTATTTTGCATATTTGTAGACTAATAATAACCAATAGATAATGAATGAATTATGATCATCAATGAAACAAAGACAGATCTTGCTGTTAAGTATGACAAGGTGATTCTTTAGTGTGAATTAATTGATGACGCTCTTTATTTTTGAGAATGCAACTCAAAATTAGTTTAAGCTCTAGCAGAATCTCTGAAAAGACGTAATCATCCATGCTATATAAGATATAGAATTTCAGCCAAGAAGCGCACTAATTTTCTTAACTCTTTTTTCCAGACTTAGAAGCTCGTACAATGACGTCTATTGATGCGAGCAAATCCTTTTATACTATTTTCTTTTTATTAATCTTCCTCTTTCTTGAGAAGGAGTACAATTTATATGCAAATTTAACGCATTAGTGATTTTCAGCTATCAATATCTTTCGTAGAAAATATTTATAAATCACAGAGTCAACCTATTTTTTTCTAAACTATGGCCAAACTCGGAGAAGTCATTAGAAGTAGTGTAGTACGACTCTATCAGAGAGTGTAAATATTTTACTTGAAGAATCAGTCTATTATATAAGAAATAATTGAATGCAAATAATTTTTCATTAGTTCTACCTATATCATAAATGTATTGAAATTCAAATATCTAGGTTCAGATCTAATTAACTTACAATACTTATAGAAAGTTTTCAAGTGGATCTAATGCATTGCTTGTATAAAGATCACATCTGAACGACAACGACAAAATTATATCAAGAACTCGATGTTCTCTGGAAAAATCGAAAACAGTGTGGATTTTGAAAGTTGTGTAAAATGTTGATTTCTAATTATCTTATAGTTTAAAAACCGAGAGATAAGTATTTCTTAAGTAAAGCATGTCATTTTATGGGAAATTTCAAAAAGACTCTATTTGAAAAGAAACTAAAGTGTGAGTGGTGAAAAAAATGATTAAAATATCAACAGACAGTTGCGACCAACATTTATTGTGAGCAATCAGATAAATGGTGTCTCATAAATTTTGATTTCCTTCAAGTAATACTCCTTTGTTATATATTTTTTTCGGTAGAATAGGGTAATATTTGCAGCATATATGTTAGACATCTAGATCTACTGTACGCTAGAATTTCAGCTTTCTACCCATTATAGTCACAGAGATACAAGTAACTTAAAATTCATTGGAATTTTTTGGAATAACGGGTGTACCAGAATAAATGATCTCGTTTTGTATTTTATTTTCTTATTATCTAATGCGTTATATTAAAAAACAAAACATACCACAAGATGCAGTGTGAAAAGGTCTACAACCTACACAAGGAAGCTTATTTTAATTGTGTACATTTTCTTTTCAAAAAAAGAAAAAGTCTGTGGGACCGATTTTTGATGTTGCGAAAAGATCACTTTTGTTCTACATAAACGAATTCCTTTTTTGCCTATTTTATCTTTTTATCGCCTAATACGTTTTCTTAAAAAAAAGAATATACCATAAGGTGCAGCATGAAAAGCTGTACAATCTACATAGTAAAGTTTATCTTAACTGTGTACCTTTCATTTTCAAAAAAATGTGCGACCACTTTTCGCAGCATCAAAAATTGGTGACACATTGTTTGAAAAGAAAAGGTACACAATAAAAATAAGCTTCACTACGTAGATTGTAGAGTTTTTCACGCTACATCTTGTGATATATTCTGTTTCTTAACATAATGTATTAGATGATAAGAAAATAAAAACCAAAACGTGGTCATTTATTCTGGATCACCCGTTAATTATTTCAAAAAAATTCTATGAATTTTAAGTTACTTGCATCTCTATGACTATAAGAGATTGAAAGCTGAAATTTTAGCATCGAGTAGATCTAGATGTCTAGTATATATACTGTGAATATTAACCTATTCTACCGAAAAAAACATATAACAAAGGAGTATTACTTGAAGGGAATCAAAATTTATGAGACATTCTTTAGTTGTGATATCGAAAAATAAAGTTATTTCCTATCAACCAAAATAAATTAATGTCTCGTTAACAATTGATAAGTCTTGTAGAAACACAATACTATTTAAGTTCATCAGAATCTGACAATGAAATGGCAAAGAACGCGCAAGATATTTAACAAAAGCTTTTATGATGGTGTCGATGAACAATTACAATAACAAAATCCATGCGTTTGTTAAGATGTATGTTACAGATAAATGTGACTATTCGGTAAAACTAATTTAGACAGATTTCGTTTTTAATTATACACAAAACTATGCAATAGTTATCTTTTATTTCAAAATAAAATCTAATTTTTATTTTCATTAAGAGAACACAAAACGTACTTGTTATTTTCAAGTAGACAGAATATCCATTTTCAATACTTATATTCTAATGTATACACGAATGACTTCTTCTACATCGACATAAAATATTTATTGTTGTATCATAATGAATACATCAGCTAAAAAGTCCCTCATTGTTTTCGTTAGTCTAATCCTTTTTGATCTTTTTTGCTTTAAATCATTTAAAAACTTTATTTCATTTTACCTGAATCCGAAACTTTACCGGTCACATTCATGTAAAGAATCATTTTTAATAAATTATTACGAAAAGTAAATATTATGCTTTCAAATAGATTCTAGTAGAGAAAAGAAAACAACACGAATTTAAATCTAGCATAGAGTTGAAGGGGAACAGCGCTCTCCAACAATTGGGCTGATCTTCCTAGAACTTGTAATTATTGTACCATGAGCTGTGTGTCTGTACTCTCAAAAATAGATGTTATATATATAAGATTTACTTTCCTTGCAAAAAAGAAACAACATAGTATCCGAGTATTCTGTATTATTGAATCCCTCAATATTGATAAAATAAGTCATCGATAATATAACATTTGTTCTCATATTTCGTAATGATTTCTCTCTCGAATTTCATTTCAATTAAAATAATCATCGATGCTCTTATCTATTTCTTTTTTATTAGTAATACAAAAGGAAAGAAAACATCGGCAAATAATACTATTACAATGGAGTGGACAGCAGCAGTAAGTAAATAATATTTACTAGAAAATTCTCAATAATAATGAACGATCTATAATAAATAGTCGTACTGTGCATTTCATACTTTACTCTCATAATGTGTTATATTAAAAAAAAAAGAACACGATGTATCACAAGATACAGCATGAAAAGCTCGACAATCGAGAGAGTAAAGCTAATTTTAATTGTGTATCTTTCATTCTCGAAATAGACAAAATCCTATGAAACAAATTTTCAATGCTACGAATGATATAATTTAATGATATACAATTAATTCCTTCATAATAATATAGAACATTGAAATCAAGACTATTTGTTGATCATTTGTCAGTGTGTATTAAATGCATGAAATTTTCTTCACATCATGTCAATGATTTCTAATAGGACTGTGAAGCAACATAATTTTCATATTATAATGTATTATCAGATTTATATATATATATAATGGGAGGTGTAAGATCAGTTTTAGATACACTTAACCATAATTCTTTTTGGATATTTAGCCTTTTAGTTTATATCTATTTGTTCATCGACATCTCATCAGCTTGCAGCATAAACATGTTCTAATGAAAAAAAAAATTTTTTCGTTAATGAAAAGAATTTTTGTCCTACAGAGTTTCGCTTATGTTGATAACAAAAAATATACAATTAAAATAAGCTTTACTATGTAAATTATAGAACTATTCACGCTGCACCTTATAGTGCATCCTGCATTTTTAATAAAAAGTATCTAGAGATTAAAATAGGAAATGTAACGTGTGGTCATTTATTATATGGTATAATTTATTTCTAAATTTTTCATTTGTATAGAAATCGTATTATATTGGTTATAATTCAATCGATCGATTTGTTTCTATCATATTTATTCATAATTATTTACTGACATGGTCAATGGCTATATTTTCTTCTTTAATTCTTCCTGTTTTATTCATATTTGCACCATCATCACTTCGTACAACTCGTACATCACATTTTCTTATTATCTGTCTAGTATGTTTATCAAATATGTGTTCTCTTTATGTTCAAGCATATATGATAAGTGATAAAGGTGAACTAAATTTATCATATCATACATGTCGTTTTATTGTTTATATATCAACATTTGCTAAGCCAATTGGACTTTATTTAACATTGTTATTTAGCATTGAAAGATTAATTACAAAAGTTTTATCAAATTTTCTTTTACGTTTTATGAATTATCGTCAATTATGTCAAAGATTATATACATTATTAATTTTTCTTGGCACTATTTTAATATTGTCTATTCGATTATTTCAAGTTTTAAATTTAATTGTACGAAATCAATCTGTAATAAATGTAACATCGAATGATGATATCGATCCATATGACAGTATAGAAGATGTCAGTAGTAATTCAACAGATCGCTATATTACATTTAAATATTGCTTTAATTCAATGAATATATATACCTATGCTAGATTTCTTTCATTTTATACTATACAATATTGGTTTGAACACTTTGCAATAATCATAATTATTCTTATTTTATTGATTATTATTATTCAACAATGTTTATTACCACGTATTCAACAACAAAATTTACCACTTCATTTTAGTGTTAATACAAAACTTTATTTATCACTTTCATCATGTGTTATTATATCAGAATTATTGTTAGTTTTCTTGCATTGTGTTGTCGATGATATTAAATATAATAATACAGATGCACAAGCAATATCACTAGAACTTATGTTATTTGTATACAATATTCGTTGTATTCTTCTTCCATTTATCGTTTGTATAACGACTTGCGAGCCATTAAAAGAACTGTTTTTTGAAATGTTTATTTCACGACCTTATCTCGATAATATTGATGAAAATGATACTACCAATACACAAAATAATCGAGCAGAACCATTTTCATCTACACAACGAACAAGTAATCGTCTTCAACAAAAATTTCGTCGTACGTTTACAAAAAATAAAACGAATGATAATGACGAATATTTTGATAATGAAGAATCACAGGCTGATTTGTGATTTATTCAAATATGGATTTTCTAACGATTATAAAAGAACGATCTTTCATTGGTTTATTTGCAATTGTTTTTCTTTTATTTTGATAAAACTGAAATTAGACATAGAACACAAATTTCTCTGTTTCACATAAGTTAACGATATTTAAGCAATAAATTGCTACAAATCACCAAGATTAATCGCTCTATATTCTTTTACTGATTCTAATAAATAATATTAGACTCTAGGCTATGGACAATAAATCTTTAAAAAAAAGCTAAAGATCACTTCTTTCTTTTTATTTCTCGAATAAATGAAACAGAAAAAAAAATAATTAAAGCATTTGCTGTTGTTCGACAATTGATTTTTCCGGTTCATGTAAATCATCTGTCTCCAATGTCGACGATTTCTATAAAATACAAATAAAAAAAGAAATCAATAAAGTCAAATACTAACGAGAGAACATATCCAACTATCGGACGTCGTTTGATTTCATATTTTAGCTATGAGTAATTCTTTCGGTGAGACAAGAAAAGTCTTACAAGAGTTTTGATTGCTCTAATAAAATATTTACTGAAAACAAGGTATTTCTCAAAAACCCAAAACAATTAGTTTTGCCCTGAAAGTTTCAAAGAAAACGAATGGGATTGAATAAATCAACAAAGACATGTTCGTTTTCGTTGAAAATTTCAGGACTATGTAATAATTATCAAAAGTGCCTATAGACAAACATTTCATGTTGAAACCCTTTGTTTCCATTTTTTCGAAAATGATTTATTCTCAATAAAAATAATTTCATTAAATCGACTATAACTCATCATCTGTAGGCCATGAGCCCAAGTCCTTTTAAGCTTTTTAAAGTCTCACTGAGACCTACGACTCGTAGCCATAATTTGAAGTCGAACGACGTCCGATAATTGCACATGTTACCTCGTAAGTACTAAATTATATATACTTTAGTTGATAAAAATCCACCAAACACATCTCTCCATGATAACAATAATGATTTGTCTACTATATTGGGATTATTCGAACCTAAATGTTAAAATTAACATTCATTTTGTTTTGATAACAATAATTTTTTACCAAATATAAATGTTCCAAGTAAACCGAGAATAACAGTTAGAAAAACACCATTAAAAGAATACCACAGGAAAGATATCGAATAGAGTGGCAATAGGTGATTATTTGAACTAATACAGACAAAATCATATTTATGTTCCTTTATAAAAGCAACAATACTTTTGATGTATAGGAACAGATTGAGTAATATTAACTGTTGACAAACATCCATTGACAGATATTGGTAATCGTCCACTTCTATGTATGTGTTGTTGTATTGTAAGAGTAGATCCGAGGAGAACCCATATTTGAAATATCATACACAAAAAAAATGCCACCAGAACACTCTATGACAAAAAAAGAATACAATCGAATATAATATTTTCACTCAATATACTTACTCGACTATTAACGCGTGGTGCAAAAAATCCAAGTAAATAAACGCCAAGAATTGGTGGAACAAATGATCCAGCAATTTGAAAAACTATTACAAGAATATTATCACCTAAATAAGATGCAATAAATGCCAAAAATACAATGAGAAGACCAATAATAAGAGCTATAGAAACAAAAAGAAAAAATAACATTGATTTTCTTATGAACGTTTCATAATAAATTCAGACTTACATAAAATCTTTGAAATAATAGCTTGTTTTTTATCTGTCATAGAATTTTCAACTGCTATTCGTTTATAAATATCTTCAAGAACAACAGTTGCTATACTATTAATTCCACTTGATATTGTACTTAACGATGCACTTAATATACCAGCAATAAATAGACCTGTTAAACCTGGAAATCGTCCCAATGTTTCAATTATAAACAAAGGATACAACTAAAAACCATTATTTACAATAATTTTTTTCTTTTTGTCAAAGAAAATAATTCTCTTACTTGATCAGGTTTAGAAATAAGTTTAGCTCGAAGAGGATCACATTGGCTATATTTAGCATACAAAATACATCCAACACAAGCACAAAGTAATATAAATATTGAATACATAATAAAATTCATCCAAGCAACCCTATAATTCAAATAGAGTTACTATACTTGACAAAGGTCTTTGACTTAGAGGATCTCAGTCATTATTCATGATGGAGGATTGAAAATTCATGCGCACGTATTTCATTAGGGGTACAGGTTAGAGACATCAATATTCAAGTAAATGAATTCATCTTTTAAATAAACAACAAACATAGCCTGAATTTCATTTTCATTCAAAAACATCAAGAATTAATCATATATTTGGTACAAAGTACTGCAAAATTGAGTAGGCAGTTCATTTCAGGTTAAAAATCTTAATGTAAAAATAGATTTCATCCATCATAATTTTCTTTGTACTTAACCAATTCAAGCAGAATTATATTTTTGGCCTACACTCTTGACGAAGTATGTGCTCAAACTCCAGCATTTATAATGACCAAAATGCTCTGAGGCGGAGATTTTTGTCGACTACTATACAATAAATTTATAATCTATAAACATACTTCTGTGCTGCTCGTATACTTTTCACACACATATATCGTTGTCCTTGAGTTTGAAGACATGAATATACTGCTGTAGTATAAAAACTACCTCCAATAATAATACTCCAAATAGTGTATCGAGTTGATAAAGCAAACGTTGCACTATAAAATCAGCAAACAAACAAAAAATTATCTCTTTCTTTAATTCTATGTATATGTCGTATCGAAGTTACACCGGTCGACGAAGTTATAACTTCGTCAACATTCTTGACGAAGTTATAACTTCGTCGATCGATATTGACGAAGTTACAACTTCGTCGTATAAACGTGACGAAGTTATAACTTCGACG